ATTCTCACCTCATGGCTTTAAAAATTTTGATCTTATGATGAAAAAAATCAAATTACTACCAGACAAAATTATAAACAATAATTAGGAAAAATTGAGACTTGGGAAAAATTTTTTTGTTTATGCTAAGAATGTTCTTACAGTCGGGTGACATTGGGTTAAAAAAATAAATAATGTGTGGCCATGAAGGTATACWCTTTGGATTAAACATACACCAGAAAAATAAAAACRTGTGGAGTATCTTTGAACAGTTAAACACAAAAACATACGTAATTCACAATAATCTGACTCTAACAATGTSTGTATCTCTCACAAAAATGCATGACTGCTTAAAATGATCTTGTGTCCACGAGTTATTACCTCATGGGCACGCTTTGATTTTTTTTGCTCCAATGTCACAGACCACACTTTCCTGTTATTTTAGTATGTTGTTATTGTGCTTGTTTTGCCACCTAGTGGCGCATCATGGGCACTGCAGWGTTTCTTAACAAGAATAAATCATTCAACTAATCTCATTTCAKTATGTTATGTTTAAGTCAATCTATGGATAAATATTTATGAACAGCGGCTGAAATTTGACATCTTTAAATCTGTATCTAAATAATAAAAACAAGAATAAAAGGTATAATAACTCTGAAAGGATGATATCTTAACTGTGCAGAAAACAAAAAGGGGAAACCTCTGATCTGGTCTGAAACGTGTGTCTGTGGGGGGCAGCAAGGGTCTTAAAGCTGGGTCCAGTTCATTTAGCTCCACTGCAAACTGGGTGAAACCATAGTACCGTTCCTGGTCCTCTGGCATTGGATCTGTGAGCAAAACAATGTAAAAAAAAACATTGTCAGCTTTTCTGATAACAAACACATATCAGAGCTGACAAACACTGAGAGTAATCACTCACTCGCTCGCCAGATACACGTAGCAGACGGTGGGTCTCCTTGAAACACAGATTCATGCCATTTCCCGAAAATGGAATGTACCACTTTTCCATCTGAATCTGTAACCACACCTTTTATTTCATTGACTGTGGAGCTCCAGGATTTAGCCTGAAAAAAATAAWCAAACGTTGACAAAGAACATAAAAAATATAACTACCGGTATGTATTTTATGCCAGCATTAACAATCATATGTTCTTTTTTCTGTTCTAGTAAAACAGTGGTGCCCAAACTGCAGCCCGCGGGCCGGATCCAGCCCGCCTCCCCATTTGGTCTGGCCCCCAGAACAATAC